CAAAGACATACTGAAAGTACAAGTTAAAAAGGGAGGCATCAACCCAACAAACTGGGAGGACTTGGCACAGAACAGAACACAGTGGTGCTACACCATACACCAAGCCACAGCTCACTTTGAGGAGGACAGATGTGCTCATGAGACAGAGAAGCAACAAAGGAGGAAAGAAAAGGCACAACACTCCAGCCAACAACTATGTCTCCTCCAAGATTACTCCTGTCACTTCTGTGGGAAAATCTGCAGGGCAAGAATTGGGCTCCTCAGCCACTTAAAAACTCACCAATGAACCCCCTTGGCAGACATCATCCTCGCATTGAGGGATAGCCAAAGAAGAAGAAGAAGAAGACCTTAGATTTAGAGCAATTTTTAATAGATTTAAAAAAAAATCTTACAGAAATTAGAGATTGTTAAGAACTAAGGTCAGCTTGTCTCATCTCTCTGCCAATGGAATATTTTTTGCTATAAAGATATAGTACATTATAGTTTAGAAATTAGGCTGAGAACTTACTGAATTCCTTTGTATGGGCATATATTTGTAAAGACACAGTATGATCCACATGCATAACTTAAAATTAGACTAGGAAAGAAAAACTGTTATGGAATTCTTACCACTTTAAAGTAGGATACAGATATCCATTAAGAAGCTCTCTGACATAAGGCTATGAAACTCTGGCTCCTAACCCAATTGAAAATCTATTATAACACACACATCAGGCAGAAAATCTTTTCCTTCAATAAACATTTTGAAACAAATTCTCTACTCTCTATGTGTAGTATACATAATTATAAGTGGGATATAACAGTACAATCAAATATGCCACGACACATCCAATTGTTTTGAAAGTGACCATTCAAAAATGCAAAAAAGAGTCAGAAAATAGGACATCAATGCAAGAGAACCTGTGTTTCAACATTTACTGTTAACATCCTCCCACATCATATTACATCTATTCCACATGCTATTCACAGACCAAAAGGCAAAAAAACAACAAACCCCAAGTTATTTAGGCACAGAATATTATACATGACAAACTCCATTAATCTACGTTAATGAATGGAGATGTGCTAGGAGCAAGACATCTGATGCCATAGCAACCTTTTGATATACAAGACAATGATTGTTAAATATGGAAGTTCAAAATATGTGTTCATATTTCTTATGTTATATTATGAAGATAGTGTTCTACTGCAAACGGATTTAGCCAATTTGTTTTTTCTAGGAAATATAAGCAAATTGTAGACAGAAAAATAAAGCAAATATTTAAGTCTTCTATATCAAGATTCTACATATTGATTGTGAAAGTGTGTGCAGGAAAAGCTCCTCAGGGACCATTTTGGGTATGTCTGTACTGCAATGTAAGCCCAGGCTCAATGTTGTGAGCCTGAGCTTGAGCGTGCACACTGAGCATAGACCCCAGATTGAGAATTTCTGCAGCCTGGTCTCACACCTGTGCTCAGGCATTTACACTGCATTACACAGACCCAAATCAAACTACCCTATCCCAGGCTTTGTAGCACCCTCCCCAACTGTAGATGCTCTGGCCCTTTGTTTGTGGTGCACTGTGGAAAAATATCCAACCCACATGTTACAGGAAGCTGTCACAGCCTGCCAAAACATCCTGCTGAGCCATCTTTTGGGTCTGCACACTCCCATCAAGTAGAGCCACCAAGATGGCAGAGTCACCATTTGAAGAACTTGTTTTCACTCCCATTTCGGAGTGGGAGTGAAATGGGAGTGAAAGCTAACGAAAGCACCTGTTAGAGGAAGGAGGAGGATATGGACTTGAATTGGCTGGGGCTGCTCATGACGCTGAGTATTGTTCCTGATGCCCCCTATGTAGACTGGCATTTTTGGACTCGGGACACAAGCACAGACTGGTGGGATCGTTGTCACGTAACCTGGGATGACCAGCAGTGACTCCAGAACTTTTGCATGAAGAAAGCTACATTTCTGGAGCTATGTGAGCAGCTTCCAGTGTCACAACGCACACTTGAGGGTTGCATTGCAGGTCACAAAGTAGGTTGCTATAACGACCTGGAAGCTATCACAGACTGCTACAGGTCCATTGCTAGCCAGTTTGGTGTTGGAAAGTCAACTCTGGGTAAAGTGATGGCAGAAGTTTCAGAGGCAATCAGGCATGTGATTTACCCAAAGGTGGCTGGCATAAAGAAACAACATCAGTGAAGTAATTGCTGTAATTGCTACTTTTGAGAGACTGGGGTTTCTAAACTACACCAGGGCCACTGATGGGAATTATGTGTCCATAGTTTGGCCTCAAGGAGCACGAATACATAAACTGCAAAGGGTACAACTCCATAGTTATGCAGTCCCTTGTGGACTACAAAGGAGGTTTTATGGATGCCAATGTGGGCTGTACTGGAAGATTGCTAATGCCAGCGTTTTTGGCCAATAGCGAGTCTACCTTCATGGACAGGCCAGGACACTATTCCCACCAAATAACATTGTCATAAATGAAGTAACTGTCCCCACTGTTATTCTAGGGGACCCCATATGCCCCCTTTTGCCTTATCAAACTGTATCCTGATCTCAGAGACCCAGGGAAAAGAAGGTTTAATTACATTGTCAGTGAGTATAGAATGGTGGTTGAATGTGCATTTGGCAGACTGAAATCCTGCTGGTGCTGTTTCAATAACTTTGGATTGCAGTGTCATCAATGCAGTCTATAATACTGAGGCTTGCTGTGTTCTTCACAATTTTTGTTAAGTCAAAGGTGGGCCATTTGCCCCTGAATGGACCTATGACAGTAATGGATTGTTGAACCAATACACTCAGCCCAACAAGTGCTCCTATGACAGCTAGGACAGGATGCACGTGTAAACAGAAATCAGGGATGCTCTATGCTCCCATATTGTGGACTTGTATAGACCAATGGATGAGGGAGAATAGTAAGTTCATGAATGTGTTTTTACATCAAAGTTAACGGTATATGAAGTACTGATTACAATGAATGGTGGGGGACTGTAATGAATTTTAATTATGGATGAAATGACTGCTTATGAAATGCGGGGGCAGTGTATTGTCTGGCAAGAACAGAATTTTCATTATGGATTGATATAAATAGATGTATTGAAAAATTGTGTTTGGATACAGCTTCCCAGTTATGCCCTATCGTGTGTTTATCCTTATTATTTGAAATACACATTATATGATGTGATGCAGCGATGGTAATAAACTTCCTTAATAAAATAAAAGCCTTTATGTGTGAACATGGCTGTATTACAAAAAAACAATATTAAAACATCATCAGGCAAGTCAGCTGCCATTACAAACACCACAACACCAATAATAAACCAATACCAAAACCAGTAATAAAATAAAGTGCACAAAACAAACATTGAAAAGTGCAAACAGCGAAACCAGTGCCAATAAATAAATTCCGTACATTTGTGTAAAAATTAAATTTTAAATGCTTAATTGCTCTTTGTGCTTCCCAGTCACCATTTTGAATTACCAGGGTGGTGGGAGGTGGGGGGACTCCAAGGTGCAGGCATGCATTCTGCCATTGGCAGATAAACGCTGCTAGCCACAGCTTGTAATTAGGGCTGTCAAGCGATTAAGAAAAATTAATCACTATTAATCGCTCTGTTAAACAATAATAGAATACCATTTATTTAAATATTTTTGATGTTTTCTACATTTTCAAATATATCGATTTCAATTACAACACAGAATACAAAGTGTACAGTGCTTACTTTATATTTATTTTTATTACAAATATTTGCACTGTAAAAAACAAAAGAAATAATATTTTTCAATTCACCTCATACTGTACTATAGTGCAATCTCTTTATTTCATGAAAGTTGAACTTACAAATGTAGAATTATGTACAAAAATAAATGCATTCAAAAATAAAACAAGGTAAAACTTTAGAGCCTACGAGTCCACTCACTCCTACTTCAGCCAATCACTCAGACAAACAAGTTTGGTTACAATTTGCAGGAGATAGTGCTGGCCGCTCCTTGTTCCCAATGTCATCTGAAAGTGAGAACAGGTGTTCGCATGGCACTGTTGTAGCCAGCACCGCAAGATATTTATGTGCCAGATGTGCTAAAGATTCATATGTCCCTTCACGTTTCAACCACCATTCCAGAGGACATGCATCCATGCTGATGACAGGTTCTGCTCAATAACAATCCAAAGCAGTGCAGACCAATGCATGTTCATTTTCATCATCTCAGTCAGATGCCATCAGCAGAAGGTTGATTTTCGTTTTTGGTGGTTCGGGTTCTATAGTTTTCGCATCTGAGTGTTGCTCTTCTAAGACTTCTGAAAGCATGTTCCACACCTCATCCCTCTCAGATTTTGGAAGGCACTTCAGATTCTTAAACCTTGGGTCAAGTGCTGTAGCTATCTTTAAAAATCTCACATTGGTACCATCTTTGAGTTTTGTCAAATCTGCAGTGAAAGTGTTCTTAAAACAAATATACGCTGGGTCATCATACGAGAATGCTATAACATGAAATATATGGCAGAATGTGGGTAAAACAGAAGAGTTCTCCCCCAAGCTGTTCAGTCACAAATTAAATTAACGCATTATTTTTTTAACGAGCATCATCAACATGGAAGCATGTCTTCTGGAATGGTGGCCGAAGCATGAAGGGACATACAAATGTTTAGTATATCTGGCACATAAATACCTTGCAATGCCAGCTACACAAGTGCCATGCGAACGCCTGTTCTCACTTTCAGGTGACATTGTAAATAAGAAGCAGGGAGCAGTATCTTCCATAAATGGAAACTAACTTGTTTGTCTTAGCGATTGGCTGAACAAGAAGTAGGACTGAGTGGACTTGCAGGCTCTAAAGTTTTCCATTTTTTTGTTTTTGAGTGCAGTTATGTAACAAAACAAAAAATCTACATTTGTAAGTTACACTTTCACAATAAAGAGATTGCACTACAGTACTTCTATGAGGTGAATTGAAAAATACTGTTTCTTTTGTTTATCATTTTTACAGTGCAAATATTTGTAATCAAAAATATAATATAAAGTGGGCACAGTATTCTGTATTGTACTAGAAATCAATATATTTGAAAATGTAGAAAAGCATCCAAAAATAGTTTAATAAATTTCAATTGGTATTCTACTGTTTAACAATGCGATTAATTGTGATGCATTTTTTTGAGTTAATCACATGAGTTAACTGCGATTAATCAACAGCCCTATTTGTAATACATTTTGCATCGGGTCATAAATCTTAAATTCCTCCCATTCCTATATTAAGAGCAACAAACATGGAGCCAGAAACATACCAGGCTCCGGGGCTACTTATGTCTCTTCTGTTTCTGCTGCCAGTTCTGCAGCAGGCTCCGCCCTTGGGGGGGGATCATCAGACAGCTCCTTTGAGTATGGACCCAGCATGTGCTGCAGCTGCTCCAGTGGCAGAACCTCTTTGGAAACCAGTGTGAGCACAAGTCACTTCACTAGCTGGATCTGGTGCCTGCTGGTTCCTCTCTAATATAGGAGTAATTCAGGGGTCAGAAGGTCACCATCCCGGCTGACCAGGCTGTCATGAACTGCTGTTGGCTCAGTGCTTGGTGCAGTATCCAACACTCCGTCAAACTTCTCATAAAAGAGGCAGGATGTTGGGGAGTTCCCAAAGGTGTGGTTTTCAACCCTGGCTTTCCAATAGTCTTGAGCTGCTTAATCCACTCCCATCACTGGTCACCAGTCTGGTGAATCCCCCATGCTGCCAATTCATCTGCAGTTTTGTAGTGAAGAGAAACTTCTTGCTTGCCTCACACCAGAGATTAACCAATATCTGACTGTAGTCCTGTCACCAGGGAACAACGTGTTTGGCAATGGACTTCTTATTGGTGGCCATAGCTAGCGCAGGAGACGGTTCACTCTGTTTGCAGCTCAGCAGTCAGAATACAATGTTAAACACTGAGCAGCTGTACTTGAACATGGGGGGGTTGCTTCCATTTCCTGGGAGTCAACTGGCTAGTTTTGAGATAGAAAAAACAAGGAACACTGGCCCATGGGACTGTGTGATAGAATTGGCAGACTATCAGGACATGAGTCTGGGGGACTGAGGCCCAAGCTGCATCCACAATACAAAATGATGCACTGTGGACTAGTGGAACTTGGGTTTGGATGAACCCCTCTTGCTGGATCCTAGGGTCTAAGTCCAGGGGCTTACTGACCTTAGTCAGCGTTGTGTGTAGACAGAAGTGGGGTTAGAGCTCAAGCCTGAGTCTGAGCCCAGGCTTGCATTGCACTGTAGATATACCCTCAGTGTTGTGTCCTCTACAGCACTGAGTACCAAGTATTTAATAAGGGGAAGTGCCATGGTATCCTCTCTTAATATCTCAGCCAGTAGAGTTTGCTGAATGCAAAGATGGCAGCAGAAAGGTGAACAATAAGCTGTGCTTTGCAATAGGCTGTTCAGGTTACTACCCTCTCAGCTCAAAGAGGGAATCACTGACTTCTTTTTACCTCCTAGGATGGCAAAATCCTAAAGGAAAAAAATCTAGTCCCAAATGAATGTCTGCACATCTGCACACACACTTTCAGAACTGCCACCCCAGACACATACACCCACCAAAACCCCCTGCAACTCCTCCTCCCCCTGCCTGGGAAAAAAACAAACCAAAAAACTTCATGCTGCTCACCACGGACCTATAGAATTTTGCAAGACTAAGGTGCATATGTGTATTAGATATTAATCATAAGTTCTTTAAAAGACAGATGCTTGTAATCGCAAATTCTAGCAACAATTCTACTTTGAATAAAGGGGACAATTTAATCTGTCCAGTTTTAGACTAATATTTCAGATAGAGAAATGTAACTACTAAACTATGAGCGTAGCAGAGGAACAAACAGCAACTGGTGTCAGTATTATATAATATGCTGCATTATATATAATCTTAGTGGCCTGTGAAGAAGCCCTAAAAATAAAGGATAGGTGTTATCCGTCCATCACATATGTGCAGTCTGCATATTTCTGTCCTTGCCCAACACATTGGCATTCATGATCATTTTAAAATGATTCTAGCACACAACTGCTGTGTGGTTATAGTATAAACTTGTAACACCAAATAAAATAAAGCAGAACTTAATTCAAACCAAATGGACATAGCAAATATGGTTGGATATATTTGCTGATCTTCTATAACAATGTAATTGAATCATAGAGGATAAAAGCTATTAGGACCAAATGGATTAGTAGGTCATCTAGCCCATTCCTCTTCCACTGTAGCTTGTTCCCCACACTTTATTTTCTAGGACTTTGTCCAATCTAATTTTAATATAATCTTTCATATTTTTATGATAAACCTGACTCTCTTAGTCACTATCTATGATTTATGTATAATAGAGAATAAAGGGAATAGACCATTTTAAAATTTATAGCTCTAGTGAAGACTCTACATTGGAAATTAGGAATTTAATTTACTTTATGTAGGATTCAAATGCCATTAAAGATGAATGCTTAAAAAAGGATAGACTTCCAATGCAGTTTTCATGAAGTCCTTACTTGCTGTAAAATCATTTTCCTTATGAAAAAATGTTTCATCCTACCATATTTTATTTTCAGAATTAGTAAACATCATACTTCTATGTTCAAGGTGTATTTTCACCAAAATTCTTGAGTCTACTAAATTACTGATTTTGAAACTGGCTAAGAGAACCAAAATGTAAACATAAGTTATTACAAATGTGCATACTTAGTTACTGAATCAGAGCACAAAAAAATCTCTTTCACTAGTTACCTAGTTACCATCTTAAACACTAATACAATAGAACTGCCTTTGTGTGCATATTGAATGTTGTGCAGGATGAGTTTAATTAAATCACTATTTTAAAAAGTATCTGAAAGTACATGTTGATAAAAAGGTTTTCCTTAATAAAAAATGTAATGGAGGTCAATTGACTGATAATATGAATTTATTGGTACCAAAGACAAGGCACTGTGCTAATTCAAGAATGACAATTAAAGAAAACAAAAGACTCACTTCAGTTACTATGCTTTCTAGGACTGAACAACTCATCTAACATAATAAGGCAACAGGACTGCCAAGAATATAGTGTAAGGAACAGAATGCATTAGCAATTTTTGCCTCCCACCTGCTGAAAAATAAAGAGATAGTACTGAAAAAAATTACTGTTAGTTAAATAATGTAACTACACCTGTAAAAGTGAGTATTAAATCAGCCCATATAATGCTCTACTGTACTCTTCAAAGAGGAGAACTGAGCTGCTTTAGCCACAACTGACTTGGCTATACTGCCAGACAATGTAAAAGACCTTTGCTAGCAGTTTATGGAGTCTTCTTGGTGACCTAAGGAGGCATAACCCTGATTTACACGACAAACTTATGTCAGTATTACTGCAGCACTCAGGAGTGTGGAAAATCCACACCCCGAGCGATGTAGTTATACCGACCTAGCCTCCAGTGTAGACAGTGCTATGTCAACAGGAAGGCTTCTCCTATTGATATAGCTACTACCTCTTGGGGAGGTTGAGTACCTCTGCCAACAGGAGAAGCTGTTCCATCGCTGTAGGCAGTCTTCACTAAGTGCTACAGCAAAGCTGTAATTGTAGACAAGCCCTCAGTAAATCATAAAGGGACAGCTAGTTCCTGGAAATTTTTTGTTTGTTTTACAGCTCTCCCTTCCAGCCCACACTAACTAATAGCCAGACACCTGCATTTGTTTAGAGGAAAGAAGATTTCACTTTGAGGGGTGTTGCTAAAGAGAACAGCACAAAAACATATCCCAACAGGGCAAGAATTTGATAAATGTTAAGAAACAAAAACAAAAGAAGTTGCTTGAGTAGTTTGCTACAATGTTTTTATGTAATAGCACCACACTAGTGTGTGAAAAAGCAGTTTCAGCAGCACATACTAGCAGATGGTGTCACAAACCGCAAGTGATGACAAATCAAGTGAAGAAAGCATTGTTCCAACAAACAACAAAACAAAAAACAAAACCACCACAAACACACCTAGCGGCTCCACAACAGTTATATGGGAGGAAACAATTCTCTCAGGTTGGCATCTCTTTCATATTCTGATCTTTCCACATGCTCTAATTTACCCCATCTCCCACAGACATCACTGGAAGTTCTATGCTTGAAGAGAAAGCAGAATATCTGCCAAGGACTATGTGGATCCAAAAACAGAATGTTGTCCCTGATGATGTTAGCTGCTTCTGTGACCCACTCTATAGGTCTTCTCAACAGTTTTGAAGAGAATAAAGGAAACTATTCTCTGTTGGGTCCACTGATAAGTCTTCTTGCTTACAAGATGGGCTTTCTTTGGCCAGCACCTCAGATTTCCAGCCATATGAATAACAAGAAAAATATGACAAATACATATTTATATAAGCATTTGAGCACAATATGAGCATTTTCATACTAAGAAGATGGCTCTGGAGGGGAGAGGGTTACTGTGACATAGCCACATATACAAAAGTATTTAGTCTCCTATACTTAAGTTGTTTACACCCTAGAAGTCTCTTGGTTAAATAATAATAATACATTTAGAAGCAGAGTTGCAATACTTTTCAAAAGTAGTAGCAGCAGCAGCCTTCACAGGGAGAGAGCACTATAGTAAGAATGAGTTTGTTAGCACACTGTTTACCATGTTAACTTGTGACAGAATTCTGATCAGATTTAACAGTAATACTACTAGAAGTACATTAGCACAGCAGCACAGTCATCCCTCCACATAAAAGATTTTTTAAAAGAGAAAACAATACATTATACCAGTATCTGTAAAACTGTTTCATAAATCCCCCAAAAGATTGTGTCCATGCATATAAGGCAGCAGAAAGTCAGTAAAATATTTCATAGCATCAAAGCTAAATTCTTAGCTTTTGTTGCAAAAAAATAAAAAGTTGTCAAGGATGAAATCTTGATTGTTAACATCAAATACTAATAAGAGAAAGCACAGAAACATGGCAGGAAACTTGCCATATCTGCATAACTTACAACAAAAGATCCTAACATTCACAGGCTTTAAAAAACACATTGAGAAACCTGAGTGAAAACATTTTAGGAACATACTGATAGAAGACCACCAACTAATCAGTCTGTTCCTTTTTAAGTTCATTTGTCAGTTAAGTGCTTGGAACACACAGCTAGACTCATTTGTATGAACCTATACATACGGTATGTCATATGCCATTGTTTCCCATTCCATAGAGTGGGATTGTCTTTAAATGAAGTGACCGTGGGCATGCAGGCAGTGTGGCAAGAGAAAGGTTAAGATCAATAAAGAGGCAATACCTTGTTTCCTTAGAGGAGCATTTTGTGGCAAAAGTGTGCATTGTTTCAATGAACCCAAATGATCTTTATAGAGACGTTCAGTTTTACATATATGATTTCTAGTCAGATTTTCCATTCTTACGTATTTTGACTTCCTTTTGTCCAATGAGACAAATAACTTTGTAGCATCCCTTTGTAATTTTGACCATCCACATCAAGTTCATCACATCCAAGACAACACTAGAGATAATCCAGGCGCTTTGGGCTGCAATTCCTACTCTGTGGAAAGCCTCTGTTCCAAACACAGAAATGACGTCGGCATAATAAACAGGCATGACTACAATCCTCGCCATGAAGAACACAATTGTCATCAGCACCCCATTGATGATGTTGGCTTTTGAAGATTTGGGGTACCCCAGCACTTCAAAGAACCACCTGCAAGAGAGAAGTGTTCACAAAACCAAACAAGTTTCAGATTTTTCAAATCCCTTCTTATGACCAGTCACTATTCATCAATTTATCCCCAAGCCCTCCCAATCTAAAATTCTGCCTTCTATTATGGCTTCATCTAAAATCTCTCTAGGCCTGTTAATTGTCTTAGTGCAAAGCATCGTGTAATCTCCATTACTACATAAAAAAGTTTCATAACAATATTTTAAGGAACAGCATGTACAATAATCTCCTAATTTGAATTGTAAACTAATATGTAATAAGTGTACATGTTAGTTGCTATTACTGTAGTGTAGAGGAGTGGTTTTCAGCCTTTTTTCATTTGTGGACCCCTAAAAAATGTCAAATGGAGGCTTTGGAAATCTTAGATAATCTGTGGACCCCCAGGGGTCTGTGGACCACAGGCTGTAAACCACTGCTGTTGAGCATGGATAATTTGTTTTGTAAATTAACTTTAATATAACTACTGTGAAATAATTTATTTTTTGTTCTTTGAACATTTTAATTTGCACTGTCTGATAAGAAACTGCTATTCATTTTTTTTTTTAGAAGTGAAACTGAGCTGAGAAATGTAGCTCCAAACTTCCTCAAAATTATAGATTAAGGCCCCTACCAAATTCACGGTCCATTTTGGTCAATTTCATGGTCATGGGATTTTAAAAATTGTAAATTTCATTATTTCAGATATTTAAATCTGAAATTTCACAATGTTGTAACTGTAGGGATCCTGACCTAAAAGAGGGCTTTAGAGCAGGGGTCGCAAGGTTATTGTAGGAGGATTGCAGTATTGCCACCATTACTTCTGCGCTGCTCGTGGTGGCGGCGATGCCTTCAGAGCTGGTCAGCTGGAGAGTGGTGACTGCTGGCCAGGAGCCAGCTCTGAAGGCAGCACTGCCACCAGTAGCAGCACAGAAGTAAGGATGGCATGGTATGGTATTGCTACCCTTACTTCTGTGCTGCTGCCTTCAGAGCTGGGTCCTCGGCCAGCAGCCTCTACACTCTACACTCCAGCCGCCCAGTTCTCAAGGCAGCACCGCAGAAGTAAGGGTGGCAATACTACGACTCCCCCCTACAATAACCTTGCAACCACCCTGCACTCTCTTTTGGATCTGGACCCCCAGTTTGAAAAATGCTGGTCTCCCCTGTGAAATCTGTATAGTATAGGGTAAAAGAACACAAAAGACCAGATTTCACAGGCAGACCAGATTGCATGGTCCGTGACAAGTTTTTCATGGCCGTAAATTTGGTAGGGCCTAATTTTAGGGAAAGAAAGAAGTTTGGAATTGGTGTTGTAGGTAGGACCCCCAGCTGTTATTTCACAGTTGCTGGATTTGGGCTTTTGTGATTGGTGCCTTGTTACTATCCTAATAAGATCCTTAGAGATCAGTCTGGTCCCAAGCCAAAACCTCAGCTCTAAACATTACAAGTTGCATTGCATTATTATGTTAATGCTTATCTGTATGAAAAATGTCAGTGTGCAGGAGTAATTTTGAATAGGTTTTCTATATTTTGATGCCTTACTAGAGAGGTGTAACTATTACATATAGTCTATTGCCTGGCAAGTAGAACCTGTGGGTTGGTTTCTTAAGGAAGTATTTGCATTATTGTATGTTCCTCTCTTTCCCTTCATTCACACAATAAAATCACCCCATTAAAGATTTGTATAGCAGTGACAGGTCAGAGAAAGGACAGAGAGGACCAAACCATAGAAAACAGCTTAATTGCTGAACCTCTGAAGGCATAATCAGCTAAAACTACTGACCATTAAGCAACAGATGTAATGATTGTTAGAACTTTCACTTTGTAAAACTAATAGTATAGCCTGTTACAAATTTATTACTAAGGGGCACAGATAATCAAAGTCAAATATTTTCTTAGATATGCATCAAGATGATGATTAGGTACTGTGCTGTGCCAGCATATTAATTTATAAATGCTTTTTAAATAAATGAAAAAATGGTAATAGAACAACTGCTCACAACCAAAGTCAGAATGACAATTTATGTTTTGCCCGTCACTGATTAAATCAGTGCCGAAATTAAACTTGCCTTGTATATGGACATGCCCAAATCAGAAACCAGTATAGAATCACAGAATAGCAGGATTGGAAGGGACTTCAGGAGGTCATCTAGTCCAACCCCCTGCTCAAAGCAGGACCAATCTCCAGACAGATTTTTACCCCAGTTCCCTACATGGCCCCCTCAAGGATTGAGCTCATAACCCTAGGTTTAGCAGGCTAATGCTCAAACCACTGAGCTATCCCTCCTGCCAAAGAACAAAAAGGAGATGCAAGATAATGATTTAAGAAAAAGTAAAACCTCTATTTACTGTTATAACAATTGTGCAGTTTATTTGTAATTTTTTAAAAAGTGAATGTAATGCTTGTGAAAGTGCTGGATTATTAGACAGTGCTGGAGAACTAACTATAGAGCAGATATAGCACAGACAGTGTCAGGGCAGTTCATACTGCCTTCAGTATTCTACTTATGTGCTTAAAGCTGAGAAGAGTGTCCATCACTAGGGAAGAGGGAGGTTCAATCTCTAGGTCCATTCAGATCTTTGTCTTTATGCCGACATGGCCAACAAGGAAGCAAATTGTGATAGTGATTTTTGTGAAGTGAGCAGAGTAGTGCTCTGCTAGACTGTGGTTTAAACCTTTAAATTTTAGGCAGACAATTCAATTCTATAGCTCAGCTATTTCAAACAATGTAGGTTCTGTCAGATGGGTTAAAAAAAAGCATACATCTTTCAAAGAGCAGAAATCTGCTCTTTAAGAGCAAGACTTTGGTGTCCTGTACTATACATTTTTTTTTTTGCATTAAGTTAGTCATTAGGAATACTGAACAAACTCTTTTCAGTAGTATTCATATTTACAGATCTCCAGAAATAGTTTCATTTGAGTCATAAAATTACTCTCTCAAAATACAAATTATAGAGGTATATTATACCAATATTTTTCTAATTGCAAGATGGAGATGAGAGGAGGCAAGACTGAAACTAAAATCCAGAACAATGGTCTGATTTTTCTTCTATAGTTTTATCGTTCTAAATTTTATCTTTAAATTTTCTTCTAAAAATTGAAATTATTGTAAATAAAGAGGATGAAAATATTTCACTTGCCAAGTACGTTATTTCATAACATTACATGCTACCATTAATTGGGCTACAAGATTATTAGTTACAGTTTTCCTTTAGGGTTGTATTATCTATACATTCAACTCTGGCACTTTCAAACTGACAAGCTAAACAAAACAAATTTCTTATGTTCTTTTAAAATTAAAATAAGGATATGGTAAGGTACAAATAGTTTAAAGAGACTTTCATATGTTACAAAGAGAATTCTCAGTTGAACTAAGTTGACCTATGTTTTATATCCCTTCTGGTGAGAATTTAAGCCAAATCATGAGAGTGATAATTGAGTTGTTTATATAAGTCAATGGAATTCTGAGCTTAAAATGCGATTGTATATTATAACTGCAGCTTGGTGTTATTTTTGTTAATACTATAGTAGAGTACAAACAACAAAAAGACATATAATATAAACTAATCTTTCTGAACAATTTACATTACTTACTGTCTCCGAGGCCTGGTTCTCCTCAAATTTAATTAAAGTTATATATATGAATTTATGGAACAATAAATCCCTTAATGTAATAGACTTTATCACCATTTTCTGCAGAGATTCCTGTTTGTCTGATAAAATAATAATTCTGGGTATTTGAGGACACTTGGCCTCAGTCAAGGAACTTTTAAAGAAACATTTAAAGTAAATTATCTATCTTTAATGATATGATATGTTGTGATGCTTCATATCACAACCTAAAAAAAAGCATTGGTACAGATACCACTGAAAGATTGGGGTCAAATCCTAGCGAGTTTTCCCATTGAGTTTTCCCTGTGAGTTTTCCCATTGACTTCAATGGGGGTAGAATTTCATCCCAGGGAGGTAATAATACCTGTTTATATAACCTTGATAAGACCACAACTGGATCTTTTTCCTCTGGACTCCTCAGTACAGAAGTAATATTGATAGATTAAAGCAGGAATCATCACCTGGCAGTTTCTGAACAAATCAAAAGTAGCCTTTATAATCTTACCCCTTCTCCCTAACTTAAAAGCTGAACTTGCCAACCCAATGTTTGAGGCAGACCCTGACATGGCACCTTCTCATAGAACTACTAGAGACTATGCAGCATACTATACTCTACTGCAGGGGTTCTCAAACTTCATTGTATCGCAACCCTCTTCTGACAACAAAAAATTACTACACAACACCAGGAGGGGGGACTGAAGCCAGAGCCCAGCTGAGTCCCACTGCCCCAGGGGGGCGAGACAAAGAGAAAGCCTGAGCCCCACCGCCCCGGGTTAGGAAAGGGTCAAAGCCGAAGCCCAAAAGCTTCAGCCCCTGCCAGGGGGCCTGTAACCTGAGGCCCTCGCCCCCCAACCCCACGGCCTGAATCCCCAGGGCTTTGGTCCCGAGCCCCTGCAAATCTAAGCCAGCCCTGGCAACCCCATTAAAATGGGATTGTGACCCACTTTGAGGTCCCAACCCACAGTTTAAGAACTGCTGCTCTACTGCATGCCAGAGCACTTGAGGACTGTGAAGAAGCAGCATAGCACAGATGCCTAGCAACAACACAGCTGAAAGCTATTCAGAATATCGAAGTAGAATGAGGCAAGGACTCCTTAACCTCCAATAAAACATCTGCCCTAATCTTTCTGCATCTTTCTTCCTTATAGCTTCCAATATGCTTTATCTCCCCTGACCCAGTCTTCCCTTTTCCCACTCTAACTATGGCTCTTGCAATTGCCACTGAAGACATTTGACCTCTGTATTGCTCATCCCGGAAACATAGCTCAAATTAGAACACAACACTTGGGGAGATTAAAGAAATTGGATACATAAGGCTTGTGAAAGAAAATCAGATCTACTGTATTTCTGAGTACCAAAAGAGTTAGAAGAGAGGGGATGAATTATTCAAGATGATTAAAAAGAAAGATGATAAGAGTTAGCACCCTGAAATTTGAAGAAACAAGAGTAAATTTGATTTTACCAATACGCATTTTTGCTAGTGTCTACTGGGTTGTGGAATAATTTAATCAAGGATGGGAAGACATTGCTGGATTTGTTTAAGGGGGGGGAAATGCAGTCAGCATGCAGGAATTGTTCTGCATTATTTGACTAAGATAGTTCTGATTTTTCCAAAATTTTCTTAATAGGAAACATGGCTACAGGAGAGACTTCCTTACCTCTTCCTGATGGTTTTTGTGATCTGAGATCACCCATAATAAATACTAAATATTTATGTAAACTATGCTGTCCCCCATCACTCTCTCCAGAGTTTTCCACCAAGGTGTGTGAGGTAGGTAGCAAGCCCCTTTAGTGATGTAGATCTGGTTACCCCAAACTACTATATCACAGTACACTTAAGGAAAGAGTGTGAAATCTCTGTTTCGAGGCATTTCTAAGTTTAGCCACAGTATGGCCTTACTTAGATGTTTTAATATTTTATCTACTATAGTTTTTGTGTGTTTTTTTCCCATCATTTCTGCAATGTACACAAGTGTTTCCATGGGGAAGGAGGAGAGAAAGAAGGAGTGAACTAGATAATCTAGGGTGTCCTTTTTAGGGTTGAGAGTCCATGAATCTTTAAATTACAGGTTTTCACAGCTTTGCAACTTGTAAAGGTATGTCAGACACTCACATGCAGTATTATAAAATATAGACCTCAAGTAATCTAGAACAATGATGAAGGTGTCTAAATATCAGAGAAGTGAAATTCTGGAACAGCCTTCCAAGGGGAGCAGTAGGGGCAAAAAACCTAACTGGCTTCAAGACTGAACTTGCTAAGGGTATGGAGGAGATGGTATGAGACTACCTAAAATGGCATGTAGCTGATGTGCGACTGCTAGCAGCAAATATCTCTAACAGCCACTGATGGGACACTAAATGGGGAGGACTCTGAGTTACTATAGAGAATTCTTTCCCAGGTGTCTGGCTGGTGGGTCTTGCCCACATATTCAGGGTCTAACTGATCACCATTTTTGGGGTCAGGAAAAAATTTGCCCCTGGGGTCAGATTGCCAGAGACCATGGGGGTATTTTTATTCCTTCCTCTGCAGCATAGGGCACGGGTCACTTGCAGGTTTAAATTAGAGTAAATGGTGGATTCTCTGTAACTTGAAGTCTTTAAATCATGATTTGAGGACTTCAGTAATTCAGCCAGAGGTTATGAGTCTATTACAGGAATGGGTGGGTGAGGTTCTGTGGTCTGCAATGAGCGGGAGGTCAGATGATCATGATGGTCCCTTCTGGCCTTAAAGTCTATGAATCTATAATACAAGTCCACAATTTCACTCAATGACAAAGTACCTGGAACCTCTTCTTATGTTCATGATGCTGTTAGAAACCCATAATAGAAATGAAAACTTGTATTACATACTTTTTTATCTAATAACCTATTTATACCCATCTAACTTATACACTTCTGCATATTCTTTTGTTCAAAAGATTTATGCCAGCTTCATGTTGCATACAAAATGCCATTTACAATAAGGAGGAATTCCTCTGGAATGCACTGGAACATAATTCTAGGAGTACAATAGCCCAAAATGTTCATAGCAAGCAAGCTTTTTCCAGCTTATAAATTTAGTTATGTTGAAGTGTGACTACAGAAAATGAATCAAATTTCTATTTGTTATTTACAGTTAAATTCAGTTATCTAACAAGGCAAGACACAAGTTAAAGTAAAATAATTAACAACCACCTACCGCTGATTCACAAAAGGAGTAGAGAACTCTGCAAGCAGACGAAAGTTACCAAAATATGCCAACATTCCTTCCCCCTATATAGCAAGATAAATATTAAAAAGAAGAATCAGGGATGTAAACTTTGGTCATAAATTTAATCTGAAGAACGCATTGACCATTTCCATTTTATTAAAGCTTCCCAGCATTTGTAAAATTGTATAGGCTCTCAAATACTTTACCAAAACTGAAAGTGTCAAGTAAATGTAATAAATTTCGTAATCCTCTTTATAAAACTTTAAAGTAAATCATTTATAACATCTAATACTGCTGCCCTCTGAATTTTTTTTAGTGATAAATTAAGAAAGCAGGAAAATATGCAATGTGTCTTGTGACTCCAAGTCATTCACCAAGTATTAAAAATACTTATAGTTATTTGTGGAACATTAAACAGATGCAGAAAGTTGGCTAACAAATGATGGCACTCCCTAATCAACATGAAAATAGTGATATGTTATGATAAATTAAAAAGGATATATTTTACAGTGACTATCTAAAATGATTCAAGAATATTTTGAATTTCTCATGTTTTAAATAAATCCAGCAGAACCATACTAAGCTCACAGAAAATGAGCACTCGTTTTAGTAAGTTAGTTAGTTTGCCAAAACAGAGACTGAAGGCCAGATCCTTGGTCCTGTTCCAACTTTTTTGCAGTGCTCCATCACTGCAAAAGAGCTGGAAATCCTGCATAACTAGCCAGCTGAGATTCTCTCAACTCAGGGGAATGCACAGCTCTACTCTAATCTTGTTGCAGCCCCCAGCAAAGGGGATGGGTTGGAGGAAGGGCATGTGGCTAGAATCTTGCTGTCCTCTGGTAATCTGCAGCTGGCAGAATGGCACCAAAGCACAGCTGCACAATTAAACTGAGCATTTTGTAAACTGTCAAATTACCCAGTAGAACTTTGGATTGAGGTTTCCATTTATAACCAAATCTTCCACTCGTGATCATCTGTGCTGGTTTTTTTCTGTCTACAGAGGAGTAAAGATATATTCTTCATCTCTATTACTTTTTGGCAGCATCATACGCTCCTAAGAGAAGCAATTAAATAATGTTTGTGGGAGAAGCAGTTTATGAGGCTGAATTCTACACTGGAACCCATCAAAAAGGCAGCATTCATCAACACTTGCCAAACAGCAGAATGTGAGGTGCCACTGTTTTTCCCCTATACTTGGAAAGAGGGAATAACTGCTGGCAAATATTGACTTCTTAATGATGACCACTGTATTGCTGTAGGAGTTCTATTAGTGTGCTCAGCATGTATAAAAAACAGGAAAATTGTACATCCAGTGATCTTACATTTTAAGGACCAAATTCTGCCATAAGATATATGTGCACAACTTCCACTGAAGTAAATGGGAATTTTATGCACATATCTGAGGGCAAAATTTGAACCTGGATTCAGTCATGACAATGATTTTTTTTATACCAAGATCACTGTCAGAAATCCTATTATTTACCTCTTAAATCTCTGGAAATTGTTTTGTCATTGCAACTAAAGGAAGACAGTAAAAATTAAATATTTGGCATTCTTTGCATATATGACTGACCCTGCAAGGGATAATATTGTTGAGTTTCTCTAATCTGGTCCCAGAGTTCCATGATTCTACTGATACATCTATTATCTTCAGCTAGAAACAGAGCTTCATCTTCTCTGATCCAGGTAATAGGAATCCTGAGACTAAATCCAAACTAAAGATTTGGACATGCAGATGAATTATAACAGGCACATGGAATGATTTCAAGTGAGCAACTTTATTTAACATGGGGGGAAAGCATTATATGCCACCCCCTACTCTCACATACCAGGCATTTAATTGGGTCCAGTACAGGGTTACAGGATTCCTACCATAAAACCAATAACTGAGGGTACTTTTGTTTCTGAATCTTCTTTATCAGCCCCTGCCCCTTCCCACCCCCCCACCCATAGAAGGTGTAAAAGTTACCAAGGGAGGACTTCCGTGCATCAAGACTTCTTGTCTCCCCTTTTCCCCATAGGCAAACGGATCACCAGTGAAATCCCGGATCTCATTTACCTCTGGGAACTGGTCCCTTGTAGCTTTATCTGTACTGGACACTGGCTGCAAGTTGCAAAAAGCTAAAACAGTCTTGTAAAACATATTAAACTTGTTCAATCTTAATTCTTATAACCTAACTGTGCTTCCATGATGCTGTGAGGAAGGCAAAAAAATCTACCACACTTTTGCCAAGTAGGTCCAATGGGAAAAATTCCTTCCTGATCCAAAAGCAGGCAGTTAAGTCAGACTTGCAGCATCCTAAAAACACAGCTGTTATGCTACAACTACGAGGAGCGAGTGCAGGGCAACTAGCTGGAACAAGAGGCTTTTGAAAACCCCGGGGGGAAGTCTCAATAAGTGGGGGTGAGAGAGAGCACTGTGAGTACCTGGTTAGAGAGCAACTGGTTAGCCCATTTCCCCATCCCAAGCCAATGGGAAGGCTGCGGTCTCTCCCACACCCCCATTCCCACAATGTATGAATTCTTGCGTCCACCTCTCCTTCCGCATCTCCTGCTAGGACTGTGTACATCAGGGTGGGGCATTAATAGTCAAGTGTATTAGTCATGTTAAACTTTAATTTTATTATAAACAAAAAAGACAACCTCAGCTTTTATTTACATATAGCCTCCTCCTGATGTTTACAGGAAGAAGGTAACAAGTAAAAGCTTGCTGATATATTTGTATTACTGATTACTAGTTGCTCTCTCCATATTTACTTACGAGGAATATCATCAGCTTGAGGGGGGGGAAATGTAATTTCTCTGAAAATTTTTTACTTATTGCGTGGGATTTTCAAATGTGCCTAAGTGATTTAGGAACACCATTCCCACTGGAAGTCAATGGGATTTGTGGTCATCTATGCACTTAGAAAAACTAACTGAAATCAGTTACTCTTATGTATTACTTTTAACTATAGTGGGTAGGATTTTCTATTTCCCTTCAGTTTAATTTGTGTATTCAAACAGCACTTTGTGTATAGTCAATCCCGCTGTTCACCCAGTAAAGTCAATTTTTTCTTGCTAAAGGCACCCTTATCAATAGGAAAGAAGAAAAGTGTCTACATCACATTTAAAAAATATTAAAATTACATTTTCTGGGACATTTTATTTAAAGGATTCCATACCAAAATCTGGAACATTTAAAATTAGCCTATGTCAAAAAGTTGACAGTGTCTCTTTAATAAATACTTAACACACAACAATTTACATCTTCAAAGCACTGTACCACCAACGTTAAATATTAACATAAAGTAAGTGTCAGGTATTAAAGAGACACTAACATAAATTAAAGTAGGATTAATTTCAGAAGTCTGCCAAAATAGGGCAGAGTTCCATTAACAATGAAAAGTGCTGTTGGGCTAAAATATGAAAAAAGTAAAGTGGGACAAAAAATTTTAATCCCTTTTATTAACATCACAATTGGATTTTTTTATACAGTAAAAAAGAAAAAACACTGGATATATATATACTACACTTAGAGATCACAGACTTGTGGAAATGCATTGGAAATATAATAAAAAATGGAAAATAACATGCAATAGCTTTTGGCTGTTTTGTCTTCTTCCTATGTGCAGCAAGCTACAGCTAAAAGTTATGATCTACTTTTGGACAGAGAGTGATTTATTTTAAATATTTTCCTGCAGCTGTACATGTCACCTAAATAATTTGTATCAAATATCTGGTTTTACAAAAATTAAGAATTTTAATTCATCTCATTAAACCAATGATTCCCAAATCATATCCCAATCACAATCAAAACAGAGTCTGCACTTAATCCCTTTTCTGGTTCCTTCAGTCTTTCGCACTTTCCATCTGTTTGTTCCTCTTTTGTTTAGTCCCCGTCCCCCATCCCCCACTCTCAGTCTCTCCTTCTAGTGTCTTTGGAGTGTCAGGGGACAGAGGCTACTCATTTGCAAGTGTAGTTGGAGCACCTTTCCATTGCAAAAATCACACTACTGGGGAGTATATGCCTGGGAACAAGCAGCCCCCAAGCCATCTAGAAAGCAATGAATGAAACTTTATTCACAGACCTAAAATGTCTAGTGCAAAAATCCACATAATTTTTCATTCCTTTCACCAAATTCAGAACATTGGGTAAGGACTTCAAAGAAGTAGGATCTGCAGAAGCCATATATTGTCAATTCTCCATCACGAATTGCCTTTATATATCCCCTCTTGTATCTTAATTCCTAGGTTTCAAAATCACTTGTTGCACCCGCGCCGTGATTTCAAGGTCTACTAGATGCGACAAGTCTGGATCAGGTAAAAATGTGGCTATCCTTTTGAGACAGAAGATCCAAAGATATTAGAAGAAGAAGAATGGCTCCAATGCTATTGCTAGGAAATCATATTACCCCCTTCCCCCCTCCCTGAAAAAACCACCCCAAACTGTAGTGATCATTGAAAAGTCAACAGATATTTTATATTTAAAACTGCCATTAACTTAAAAAATATTTAGTACTTCTGAACTTCTGTGGATGATTAAAGTCAAATGTCCAGTTACAAATTCACAACTTAAAATATTAAACTGACACCAGTTTTATACCTAGTATTTAGGTATATACCTAGTAATTAGGTATACATAAATAAACATGGAGAGAACAGTACACAGCAATAACAATGAAGTGCAGCTGCAATCTCCCACCCCATCTTCATTATAACCATTGTCTACACTTTTAGGGAGTAATAAGCCTATGATAAAATGAAATTCACTGTTACTCATGATTTGGAAGATTAAAATGTGCATGCATCCTTGTATGTTATGTGGATTTCTTTCAAAGTGTGCTGAAGTACTTCATTTTAAACAAATATTTGTTCCAAACTTCATGATGGGCAGTGATGCCTAGTGGATAGAACACTAGACTGGCACTCTGGAGACTTGGGTTCTACTTCTGGATCTGCCACTAGCCTACGGAGTGACCTTGAGCAAGTCACTTTGCCGCTCTGTGCCTCAGTTCCCCCATCTGTAAAATGGGGGAAATGATACTTACCTCTTCTGTGATCTACAGATCAAGCGCTACCCAAGAGTTAAGTATGAAATACAAGAGCATCAATGTTTCATTCATTCATTTTATCAAATTACAATATATTCTTGACATAAAATTAGAGTCTTTCATAAGAAGGTATGCAAAAGGACAATGCTGGTACAGACTAGCAAACAGTTTAGAAACTTCAAAAAACACAGTACAATATGAAAAAAAGGAGGTTTATTTCAAGTCCTAAATCACAGCATTTTTTATGTAAAATAAAATACGCCTGGGCACGTGTATAGCATGTTGGTGACTGTATTGGGATAGATTAGATGGCTACATAGAATAGTTATTTTTTAATACACTACATTCAGTATACTCGAAAGTTGAACTTTAAAAAAATGTTTTAAAAATCCCAGTTGCTGTTGTAAAAGAGTTACATATTTATAAATATATAGCATTTTGATTAGCGCTGGAGAATCTCAATAAGAGTTGTTATTTTACTGCTATTCCCCAGCAGGAAGTTTATGACACACAAAAAAAAGTGTTAATGAGCAGGCAGATGCTAAACACAAACTGCGAGCTTTAGTGAAACTGTTATTATTTGGTAAGAGAATTGTAAATATATAAGCATCATCGTTCATATTAAACAACAAAACCATTAGAATTTACCTTGACAAAAGGTGTTGTGAGAATTTGTTATTTATAAAAGCACTTTGAAGGTAAGTGCACTGTCAGTGATAATATCTGGCAGAGTCAAACCTCTCTTGTACATGCAAGTGATGAGTAGTACATTCTGCATTACCAGCTATGGACTTGATCCCGATCCCATTGAAGTCAGGGTCAAAACTCCTACAAAGGGAGGAGGTGTTAGATCAGACAGCAAGCTGATAGTTTCCTGAGATTTTTAAATTACATTTCATAATTGTAAAGCTGTGCAAAATACAAGATGAAATAAAAATTATTACAAGACTTTTGAATAGTAGGTTGTTTTTACAGGCAATATGTGCTGTAATACCTAGATAAATAGTGCTGTTTAAGTGCAGATTTTCAGCATTCACTCTGAATTTTGCAGCTTTTGTTGATGTAAGCAGCCATATATTCTTGCTGCAGCTATATCCTTAAAATATTATATATGTTTAAACTAAAGACATTAAATTACAGACCCTTCCCCCGCCAAGGAACAGGAAATAAACTCTTATGTATTAGATATCAGTTGATAGCTCAAGTTAGCTCCCCCACAGCCATTATGTAGTACTGCATAAAAATGTATTGAAATAATTTGTAAAAAGCACACATTTAACAAAATAGTCATTAGGTCATTGGAATTATTCAGACTTTTTTTTTGCAAACTATGCCGTATATGTAGAAAAAATCCTTTTGAAAATTCGTCTTAATTGGTGACATTCATGGAAAGTTTTCTTAAGATTTAAAAAAAATTCTAAAAAAAAATCTGATTGTATTAAGATCCTGATTCAGCAAGATACTTAAGCACATCAAAGCAACTACCCATGAGTTTAAAGTTAAGCATGTGCTTAAGTGTTTTGCTGACTCAGAGTCTAAGTCACCTAACATGGTGACAGGTTTCAGAGTGGTAGCCGTGTTAGTCTCTATCAGCAAAAACAACGAGGAGTCCTTGTGGCACCTTAGAGACTACCTTATGCCAAATAAATTTGTTAGTCTCTGACTGATTATCACTGCAGAGCACTTACCTTCAAAGTGCTTTTATGAATAACAAATTCTCACAACACCTTTTGTCAAGGTAAATTCTAATGGTTTTGTTTAAGTCACGTAAGTGTCATGTTTTAAACTGAAGACATTTGAGTTTTGGGAGTGGGAGGGTGAGAGACATTGAAATGTTCTTCTTAAGCTACAGCATTTTAATACTGAGCATATTTTTGTACTGACAAGCAATAAACTCGTAGAGAAAGTATCTTTATATTAGAAATGAAGCTGTAGTCTTAACTTTGTAAAAACAGTCTAAAAGGCATATACAGTAATTTAATCTGTGAAAGAGAAAAAATGTTCAGTTTAAAACACATACTGGGTCAATTAACTCAAACCTTTATCTGGTGGCCAAAAAATAACACTGAGAAATACTTTATAGGATGAGTCACTGTAACTTAATTTACTAAAATTGCAAATATGGATAGAAAAACACCACCAAGAACAACATATGCTACCATTATGTAGCTCAATACATCTCTAATATTAGTCTAGTGATTTTTAAACAACTTACATAATAAACCCTATTTCAGAAGCCAAATTGGGATCAACCTCCTTGAGCTACTGAAGCCAGCATTAGAATCCATCAGCTTTGGAGTTTTAGAGACACTCTCATTACTTCCCAGTTTCACAGTTTAGCTAAATCCAGGGCCGTCTCCAGCATTTCTGCCGCCCCAAGCAAAAAAAAAAAAAAAGCCACGATCGGCAGCGGCAGTTCAGCAGCGGTTCCTTCGCTCCTAGAGGGAGTGAGGGACCTGCTGCCCCCGAATTGCCGCAAGTGCCACCCCTCTCCCTTGGCCGCCCCAAGCACCTGCTTGTTAAGCTGGTGCCTGGAGCCGGCCCTGGCTAAATCCATGCTGTTTGGTTTACTGTTTAGAGATGAAGAGACACATATAATAGAATTCTGGACATGAATGCACAAGCCTCCAGTGAAAGTCTAATTAATGGATTTTAGGATATCAGATTATTATGACCTTGTTAATCTATGTGGGATTTAAGGTCTTAAAGTAAGTGTGCCTGTGTGTATTTAGGAATGCCTATGCAGCTGCTGGGAGTGTACTTCCCAGTGTGGATAGGCAAACACTAGCTCTGCTCAGGTCAGTGTCCTAAAAATAGCTGTGTTTCCGCAGCAGCATGGGCTAGCCACACAAGTCCATACCCATGAGGAGAAGGGTCAGGCAGGTTTGTACTTGGATGCCTAGCCCGAGCCACCATAGACACACTGCTATTTTTAATACGCTAGCTCAAGTATAGCTAGCGCATGTATGTCCAGCCAGGCTGGGAAGCACACTCCCAGCTGCAGTGTAGACATACCCTTACTTGTATGTAGAAATACAAAAACTGGAGTTTCTTGGGGCAACACTGTTGAGACACTACAAACAGCCTAAATTCAGAGCAGTGATGTTCACGCTCAGGCTTGGTCTACACTAACCCCCCAAATCGAACTAAGGTACGCAACTTAGTAAGTTCGAAGTACCTTAGTTCGATCTTACCTCGGTCCACACGCGGCAGGCAGGCTCCCCCGTCGACTCCGCGGTACTCCTCTCGTCTAGCTGGAGTACCGCAGTCGACGGCGAGCACTTCTGGGTTCGACTTATCGCGTCCAGACAAGACGCGATAAGTCGAACCCAGAAGTTCGATTGCCAGCCGCCGAACTAGGGGCTGGGTATAGACGTACCCTTAGTCACTATCTTGTCTGCTTGTTAGGATATTGAAAAATATGGCACTCACCAGTACAAAGTAGTAGGCATACAGAGCTGCCAAGTGATGAATTACAAAAAATTTATCACCAATTGCCTTCCAGTAGTAAGTAATAAGAAACAAATCTGTAAGAGAAAAAAAACATTAAATTATTACAACATAAGCTACCTAAGGACTATAATATTTCTCTTTAAAGCTTTCAGTATTACTGCAATCTAAAAGGAAAAACCTTTTTGGTTATCTGAGCTATGCATATATTTTTAATGGCAAATGGTGTCCACCTCAACCCACAAAAAGAAAAACAAATCTGAATTGTCTTTGAATTCAGCATTTCTAAGCTCAAGACTTCTGTATCCCTTCCCCTACCCCCCCGGCTCCACAGATGGACATTAAATGTGAGAGGAAAACTTAGGCCTAAGCACTGGTTAAAATATTTTAGCTCTTCCAAAAATGTTCATGACTCTTTATATTTCCTACATGAAGGGAGCTGCCTGGCCACAGCTTTAGCAGGAGGTACACTGTGAGCAAGGATAGATCCAGGGACACCCCTCACCCCCCCCTCCGCCCCCAGTTCTAGGTCCTGGTCTGGAAGAGGACTCATGAGCCCACAATAATTGTATCAAGAACCCCAGAGAGAAAGGGGCTTGAGGACACTGCCAAAATATGACTGGGTCCACTATGGGAATGGTGGAGCAGCAGATGTTATTAGCAGGGCAGGGACCCCTAATGCTAAAAACATTAGCTCTTTGATTTGTTGGCTTCATTTAGTCATAATCCACCAGTGATCACAAAAGATAAATAACCTGACACAGGTTGTCATTAAGAACAAATAATTGAGTGAAAGAGAGCGCAATTGTATGTAAGGATGACAGCCACACCAGATAAAATTATTAAAAATATTTTCAACCTCTTTCACATAGGATCAGACTCTGGCTTAAAATGTGTAGGAAGACAAGGACAATGGGGAGAGGAGTAAGTATGGAGCTGTTTCCCCCAGCTTTGTTGGGATTGCTAAAAACCTGTCGCTTGCACTGTATGGGCACAGGGGAGACTGAGGACATTAAAGCTGCCAGCAGCAGTAAACATCCCAAAAGGGGTTGGGGTCACAACTCCCACCCCTTCTGAATTGGCTGAAGGACCAGAGCTGAGGATTGAAGGGTGTTCACTGGACCATCTTACAGCATGCAGTAGTAGCCACACTACTGTTGGGTGTTCCTTCAGCACCCAATAAGGCAGTATTTCCATCTCTCTCCTCCACTAGCAGGTTGCCTCCAGGCATTGTACTGCCCACAAACACAGCAGTAGCTTTAAAAACTACACTGGACTCTATATTGTTTATAGAAGCTCATCACATCCTCAGAATAAAATTTAGATATATCTATGATATAGACAACGTATAATTACCAGAAATGAGGTAGCCTGTGGTAATAGCAATATTCAGTTTCACAATTGAAGGGTCACCCCTGTAAACATAAAAAATGATGTACAGTTCCAGCCTTTATAATAAAAAGTTAAATTTGCATAGGACATACAAACATCACAAACCATTCCCCTCCTGCCGGGCCACTCATGCTTGACCCAGCCATGTAGCATCATGGAAATTTGGGTGAGGGGAGAGGAGAAGTTGCTAATTAGGAAGACTGATTCCAAAGACAGAACACATTTGCTGCCCCAGGGAGGCCAGCAGCAAGGATCACCTTATGCCTTGGGCAGCTGGCAAGGGAATGGAGTTGAAACTCAGTAAGTCCCCTGGCATACTGAGGCATAATAAGGTCAGCTAATAAAGAGTGCTTGTCAGCACCTTTGCTGACATTCTTAAACACGCCCTTTTATGTCTCCTATCCTGCCCTAATTTTTAAAAACTTAGTTTGGGATGATAAGTACCAGTTGAGTGAGAAAGATTTTTTTTAAATCACAATCATGGGATACCATGTTGACAGCTAGAGTGCAGGGGAAAATGAAAGTTACTCTTTTGTAACCAAGCTATTTAAGAGGACCTCAGCACATTCTTACTCTTGGGATGTGCTGAAATTGTAGCTTGGACTGATGGAACCTTCTAACAGCAGTGCCCACCGGTACACTCTTGTGCCCCCTGCACCTCTCCTCATGGCTCCTCAAAGGGCAAAGCAATAAAAGCGTATGTGGTGTGCTAACCCTCTCAGTTCTTTCTACCACCTCAAGTCCAAAGTTGTAATTAGGACTCAGAGAAAGAGGGAAAGGTGGGAAGTGAGTGTCATTATGCAGAATCCATCTCCAAGAGCTCTGGTTACAGGTGAATAACCTTCATTTGTTGTTTGAATGGCCTATGCACATTCCCACTCTTAGGAGTCTGGCAAGCAGTATTCTTCACTCTGTACAGTGATACAAGGAGGTCTCATTAAAAAGAGATTGTAACACTGTTTTACCAAATTGAGCTAGATGCTACATGTAAGGAATGTTTTATGAAGTATGAATTGAGGCTAAGTAAAAGCTGTACAGATGCAGCTTTGTTCTCACAGAGTGCACTCTAAGCTCTTTTGGAAAATGTGTATTTAACACACTCTTCAATACAGAGTCCAACCCATGTAGAAAGGTATTGGGATGTGATTGCCCAAACTTTACTCTTTCCCCATAAGGGACAAACAGTCCAGGCAATTTTCTGCCATTCATATAGAAGGCTAATGTTCTGTTAGCATCCAAGGTATGGAGCTTACCTAGAGAAAGCTAAGAATGTAGCCTTGGAAAAAATACTGGCAAGTTTATGGATTGATGGAGATGATAGATGTTCATTAAACCCTTCCGAATCTTTTTAATATATCATGACTAAATATGGTATTTTGTTCAGCTAGGCTATAGTGAGCAGACATGGCTGCAAGATGTACTTTTACCAATGATATGGAGAGTCCCAAGCATTTCAGATTAATGAGATACTCCTGTATGGATTTAATAGGAACTGAATCTAGGTTTATTGTTAGTTGCCAACAAAGAGAACCTTTTCCACTTATGATTGTAAAAGTTGACGCTTTCTGGAGTTTAATAGAATTCCTGTGCTTTTTACTCAGAACAGAACTATTCTATATCTGTTGAAATACTATTCTGCCAAATGGAGGCCTAGATGGCAAATCTGACCCTCTGCTGGGCCTGGAGGCTGGAATTCCAGGGAGAGACAGATAATCTGTTTATGATAGTTGCAGTAGATCCCACAACTGCTATTGTCTCACACAGGCCAAAGTAACTTTAGCTTTCTCTTGTTCAAATATTCATGAGAACTCTGAATTAGAAGAATTTGGGGCTGAGGGGACACAGAGGAGGAAACCTACTCCCTAGTCTACAAGAAATGCATCAGAAATGGACTGGTTGTCCACTCCTGCTCTGGAGCAATACCTCAAACATTTAGAGTTACGTCTTGTTGCAAATAGGTCCATCTCCAGGTACTCCCATGGGGAAGGGATGTCATTCTCTATAGAGTTCCCAAGTGACTACCTGTGCTGATCATGAAAGTCTCTGCTCAACTAATCTGCCAGTATGTTGTCCTTGTCTGCAAAGTGAGGAGCTATATGATAAATTTGGTGTGCCATGCACCATTCCCACAGAGCTTCAGCCTCTTTACACAGCTGGTTGGAACATGCTCTCTCTGCTTATTCATGTAAAACATTTCTGTAATGTCAGTAATTACACCACTACCCCGGTATAACGCTGTCCTCGGGAGCCAAAAAATCTTACCACTTTATACGTGAAACTGCGTTATATCGGACTTGCTTTGATCCACTGGAGTGCGCAGCCTCCCTTCCTCTCCCCCCCGGAGCACTGCTTTACCGCATTATATCCCAATTCGTGTTATATCAGGTCGTGTTATGTCAGGGTAGAGGTGTATTTTGGAATGGAAATTTTTCTCTCAAAAATTCCAGATACCGTGAATTGTCAAATTCTTGTAAAGAGACCTCCAGCAATTTGGAAGGGTCAGAGGTGACTACAGCTGACTGAGCTGGGGAGTTGAATACAACTTTTTTTAAGACAGTGTGATGTTAAGTCCACCATATGAAGGATAGGAACATTGGGCAGGTCATTTCATTAACATACAGTCTTGCTAGCTAATACTGAATAGGTCTTATCTTTAGATCTGCATGTAGAGTTACACATGTTTCAGAATCCATAGGGCTCATCAACTTGAGGAAGACCATCACTGTTTGCCATGGTTTCTCCTGTAGTATTTCCAAGTACCTTTCTTCAGGGACAAAAAACTCTCCTCTGTTGTACTTCCTTAAAGTAAAGGCAAGAGTCAGCTTCTGATTTTAGTAGCCTCTTAGCTCATTTGGTCAAATTAAAGGAAAGGCATTTCTTCTTAATTTTTCATTGAATTATTAAAGTAATTCTTGTGTTAAACTTACAAGTTGATTTAATTACTCATTGTAGTAATTGACAAGCCAGATAAACTGAATCATTGATCTACTGATTAAATTTTGATAGAATTTTGATAGTAACCTTGATTTGATCATTGCATTGTTTTACATTTGATTAGGGAAATTAGAAGTAAATTAGTGACAGTTGTTTAGCTTCATATTTATTTGAGTTTTTTATAGAATCCATAAAAGCACACTAGCATGGCTCTTCTCTCAAAACTCCAGTACATAAGAACATAAGAATGGCCATACTGGGTCAGACCAAAGGTCCATCTGTATCCTGTCTGCCGACAGTGGCCAATGCCAGGTGCCCCAGAGGGAATGAACCTAACAGGTAGTGATCAAGTGATCTCTTTCCTGCCATCCATCTCCACCCTCTGACACTCAGAGGCTAGGGACACCATTCCTTACCCATCCTGGCTAATAGCCATTAATGGACTTAACCTCCATGAATGTATCTAGTTCTCTTTTAAACCCTGTTATAGTCCTAGCCTTCACAACCTCCTCAGACAAGGAGTTCCACAGGTTGACTGTGCGCTGTATGAAGAAGAACTTCCTTTTATTGTTTTAAACCTGCTGCCCATTAATTTCATTTGGTGGCCCCTAATTCTTATATTATGGGAACAAGTAAATAACTTTTCCTTATTCACTTTCTCCCCACCACTCATGATTTTATAAACCTCTATCATATCTCCCCTTAGTCTCCTCTTTTCCAAGCTGAAAAGTCCTAGCTTCTTTAATCTCTCCTCATATAGGACCCATTCCAAACGCCTAATCCTTTTAGTTGCCCTTCTCTGAAACTTTTCTAATGCCAGTATATCTTTTTTGAGATGAGGAGACCACATCTGTACATAGTATTCAATATGTGGGTGTATCATGGATTTATATAAGGGCAATAAGATATTCTCTGTCTTATTCTCTATCCCTTTTTTAATCATTCCTAACATCCTGTTTGCTTTTTTGACTGCCGCTGCACACTGCGTGGACATCTTCAGAGAACTATCCATGATGACTGCAAGATCTCTTTCCTGATTAGTTATAGCTAAATTAGCCCCCATCATATTCTATATATAGTTGGGGTTATTTTTTCCAATGTGCATTACTTTGCATTTATCCATATTAAATTTCATTTGCCATTTTGTTGCCCAATCACTTAGTTTTGTGAGATCTTTTTGAAGTTCGTCACAGTCTGCTTTGGTCTTAACTATCTTGAGCAGTTTAGTATAGTCTGAAAACTTTGCCACCTCACTCCCTTTCTCCAGATCATTTATGAATAAGTTGAATATGATTGGTCCTAGGACTGACCCTTGGTGAACACCACTAGTTACCCCTCTCCATTCTCCATTCTGAAAATTTACCATTTATTCCTACCATTTATTCCCTGTCTTTTAACCGGTTCTCAATCCATGAAAGGATCTTCCCTCTTATCCCATGACAACTTAATTTACGTAAGAGCCTTTGGTGAGGGACCTTGTCAAAGGCTTTTTGGAAATCTAAGTACACTATGTCCACTGGATCCCCCTTGTCCACATGTTTGTTGACCCCTTCAAAGAACTCTAATAGATTAGTAAGACATGATTTCCCTTTACAGAAACCATGTTGACTTTTGCCCAACAAGTTATGTTCTTCTATGTGTCTGACAATTTTATTCTTTACTATTGTTTCAACTAATTTGCCTGGTACTGATGTTAGACTTACTGGTCTGTAATTGCCGGGATCACCTCTAGAGCCCTTTTTAAATATTGGCATTACATTAGCTATCTTCCCGTCATTGGGTACAGAAGCTGATTTAAAGGACAGGTTACAAACCATAGTTAATAGTTACTCAAATGTGAAATTGCGGTCTTTCAGAACTCTTAGGTGAATGCCATCTGGTCCCAGTGACTTGTTACTGTTAAGTTTATCAATTAATTCTAAAACCTCCTTTAAAGACACTTCAGTCTGTGACAATTCCTCAGATTTGTCACCTTCAAAGGACAGCTCAGGTTTGGGAATCTCCCTAACATCCTCAGCCGTGAAGACTGAAGCAAAGAATTCATTTAGTTTCTCTGCAATGACTTTATTGTCTTTAAGTGCTCCTTTTTTATCTTGATCGTCCAGGGGCCCCACTGGTTGTTTAGCAGGCTTCCTGCTTCTGATGTACTTAGAAAACATTTTCTTATTACCTTTTGAGTTTTTGGCTAGCTGTTCTTCAAACTCCTTTTTAGCTTTTCTTATTACATTTTTACACTTAATTTGGCAGTGTTTATGCTCCTTTCTATTTACCTCACTAGGATTTGACTTCCACTTTTTAAAAGATGCCTTTTTATCTCTCACGGCTTCTTTTACATGGTTGTTGAGCCACGGTGGCTCTTTTTTAATTCTTTTACTGTGTTTTTTAATTTGGGGCATACATTTAAGTTGGGCCTTGTAGCAGGGCAGTTACCCCGCTCCTAAAAGGAAAGGCTAGGCTGATTGGGGAAGCAGCCACAGCTGAGGCCATGCCCCAGTCAGGCCACAGCTGGCCCTATAAAAGGGCTGTGAGCCAGGTGCTAAGTCAGTCTCTCTCTAGCTGTGGCGAGAGAAGGACCTGGCTGCCTGGGAGCTTAGGGTACTGGGAATAGAGCAGGATTGGGGAAAGGCAAGAGGAGCTGGGGAGCTCCAGCCTGGCAAATCCCCAGGATGTAGGCCTTGCTAAAGGCCTAAAGAAGGTACTGGGGCTGCAGAGGTGCAGTCTGGGTTAGGCAGAGGCAGCTGGTCCAAACCCCCATGCTGATGATGAGTGGCCATGACAGACTGCAGTTTGCCCCAGTGAGTGGGGGCTAGATGACGACTGGCAGTAGTCACTGAGGCAAGGTGGGTGAGAGGGTTGGGGGTTCCCACATCCGTTGGCCTGCACCGCTTCCCGCAGCCCCCATTGGCCTGGAGCAGCGAACCGCGGCCAGTGGGAGCCGCGGCAGGTAAACAAACCGGCCTGGCCCGGCAGGGGCTTTCCCTGAACAAGCAGCGGACTGGCTTTGAGAACCACTGAGGTACAGGACATTTCCCTTGGACCCTTCTGGGAAAAGGTTCTCTTTGCGGCTGCCTTTCTTCAACCCTTTTAAATTTAGGGTAATACCTAGAGGAAGGCCAATATGGATGCGATGTCAAAGGTTGTCGCTCCCAGTCCTGCTAGTATCTGGCAGGCAATTCCCTATCATAATTCCTGGGTGAGGAAGGGTGATCTCACAGTCTGAAAGGTTGGAATCTACAGTCTCACTAATGCTCTTTGGGTTTGCTGACCCATCTCCTAGGACAGGAAGGTTAAGGAAAGGTATCAGGCCATTTGTAGCCTGATTTCAGATCCAAGGAAGTTACTAAGACTGACAATGATTCGGTTTAGCAAAAAGAACAAGATATTTCCCTGGGGAACCAGTAGGACAAGATTCACATATTGCCAAGGAGGTAATATATAGCTACTGAATCAGGCAGCAATATGCAAGCGCAGATATAACCAGTAAAAGACCACCATCTCAACCTGCCTGGAGCTGTCTAGACTGAGCTGCAGTTCTTCCTTTTCCTTCACAGAAACACAAAATTGCCACATCACATCAGACCAGTGGTCTTTCTATTCTAATATCATACTTCAAAGGAAGGTTCAAAAACTTCCATAATGGACAGTTATAGAGTAGCCTGCTCATTGGTGAAGTTTCATATGAATTCCGGTCAGTTAGTGATTTACTTATGACCTGAAGACCTTCTTCCTCTCACCAATTTATCTCTCCTATTCTCATAATTGCTGACTTCTCCCCCATTTTCATCACCTTAAAAACAATACCTAAGTAGTCTATAAAGTCACAACTTGTATTAAGAAGAAAGGAAAAACTACTGCTATGGAACCTTCAATACCATCAAGTAGTACACACAACTCAGTTGAATAATCACCTGACGTTTCATTATAACTCTTTTCCATCCACTTATCCCTATTGTTTGTTACATTTAATTATGTGTAATGCCTGAAATTAGATTCTAAACTCTTCGGTGCAGGGACAATTAAGTTTAAGATTCACATCCAGGCATTAAAACCTTGAAAGTTAACCCACCTAGCTGGGCCACACACAGATCCAGAAGCATTTCAGACGAAGCTACCCAAAAGACCCTGGACCTAAGATTTTACACACAACTAATTCTGAAGGACAGGGTTGATTTGGACACTATCACATAGCCACCCACAATTATACACTGAGAGGGCATGTGGCAGAAGCAAGGAAGTGAAGCTGGGGAGGAAGCATTTGGCCAAGTTATAACAAGCTTTTGAAAACTTGCAGTTTGCAGGTACTCAGTGGAGACTTTCTAGAGTTTAACAGCTAAAAGTCTCTGAAGATTTCATCCTCACAGAGCATGCTCAAGCCTCTCGCAGCTACTAATGCTGACCAGACTGCGCATGCACCATCTCCACAAAGCAATGGAGCCCAGGAACACTGGGTTTCAAAGGACTTTCTCTGTAATGGCTGCTCCAGGCCAATACCAATAATCAGTTTATGCAAAATAAAAATACTTAGCGCTTTATATCTTCAAAGTGCAATTCAAATTTTGACTTGTTCCTTGAAGGTGCTGCATGCTCTCAATTTCCATTGAAACTAATGGAAATCAAGGGAGCTTAGAATCTTGCAGGACAGAACCCTAAACAATTATAATAATATCCCTGTGAGAAAATAGTGAAAGTATTATCCCATTCTTACCAATCAAAAACAAACACAGCAATATTAAAGAACATGCCCAAAGCCACACAACAAGTCAGTGGCAAAGCTGTGATTAGAACTCATAACTTCATAGCATCCAGTCCTGTTCAGTACACCAGACCCTAATCTGTAAACAACTGAGCAGTATGAAATGCAGACCTTTGTTCTGTTCTTTTAAAACCAGATGAAATATTTTTTGCATTTAAGTTTAGTCTGATTCCCATGTTGTGATTCAGTTTAAAATAAAGTTATGGTGGAAAGAGGAGTTAAAGCTTTAAAAAAAAAAAGTTTAATTATACAGGTAAAATCAACAGTTCTTCTTACATAGCTTTAAAGAAAGCAAAAAGTCAGTCCCAATAAAGGGTAACAGCTTAAACTTTCTGCTAACAATCTCATGAATCAACTCAAACAAAATCCTGTATTATACTGCAAAAGTCTGTTGGGGAGGAGGGGAGACAAACACCAAGGACCAAAACTTATTTTCTTTTGAGTTTTTAAGTTCTAATGCAGGAAGATCTTCTAATTAGTTTGAGGAACTACTAGAAATCATTGACAGGAGGAGAGCAGCAGCATTTATTAGCGAGAGAACCTCTGCTGTACCACTATTGAGAAAAACCTTTTCAGAGCGGGTGGGGAGCTGAAGAAAAACTGATATAGTGTCTTCATTTTACACTTAAAATCTCATCTAACTTTTGGTCATATTTTTCCCCCCTACAGACATTCAGAGTGTGCAATCAACCTAATTCTCAATTACTAAGGGACAATCTCCACTCATTGATATATTTTGCTTTCCACAACCAAATCTCTGTACAACTTTTCATAAGTGATGTACCCAAGTATTCAGATTCTAATATCTAAACTGTATTGTTAAATCTATTCACCTAAATTTGGGTTATTGCTGATTATGTACACTATGTATCATATGACTTTTAAAAACTAACTCTTTTCCCAACCAGTGTATTATATAATTTTTTTAACATTAACTTTAATAAAAATTTTATATCTTTGCTGTTTCACTTTTCAAGCAAAACAGTAAATAGACACAAATGATGTTAAATCTGCAGTCACCTTTTTGATTGTTTATGGTTGTATTTTCAGAGCTGTGTATTAAAATTGGAGATTGAATTTCAATTAACTGTCCTGAGAAATGTATGTCTAACCGTTCATACTACTTCGTAGAAACTGTTATACAGTAGGCTTATAATGGCATTTTAATTGGCAAAATAATTTGGATTTTACCAGATAATCAGGACACACATATAAATGGCCCTCCACATTTTAAGAGAAACTGAGTGCTAATTTAGCTAGTTAATACTCTAACACGATAGCAACATTGGGAGACAAAGATGTGGGAAAATGGGAACAAAGAAAAAAGTCATATTCTTAAAGTCAGTTTGATATAACTTGTCTTACCAGACATGGTCAGCATTAACAGCTTCATCATACAACAAGATATATACACAAAAAGCACCAACCACCAAGGCATGGAAGGTGGATACTGTCCTGAAAAAAAGAAATATATATTACATTTGTGATTACCATTCTGACTGATACCACAATTTAGAATATACCATCTTAAGTGCAAGATGGTATATTTCCAAGGAAATTCTGAATGACATACAGAAGTTCTTGTACTATAAAGACATTTCATTTGTATATTATATCTATCAGCTCATGGAATGACTTGTTTTTAATATAGACAGCAAAAGTATACATAGGGAAGGAGGAAAATATTTTTGGTGCAATCAGTGCTTCATTTTTTTTATAATGACAAAGTAGTTAAAACATAAAATTAACATACCTTGATAGCTGTCCCATTTACTGACACTTATCTGAAAAAGCAAACTCATGACTAAGCTCTTTAAATTCATTCTTCCAGCAGTAATCAACTTGTTAAATGAACCAAAAGGAGACTTCTTGTACTTTATCCTGAATTCAAACTGGTCCATATATGCTATGTTAGCAGATTTCTGTTTGTAAGCACCAAATTTAACAGCTGGAATGCTTTTCTGTTCTTGTTTTTTTAGGTGGGTGAGGAAGGCCATAGATTAAACAGAAACTCTAGCACTGACAGCTTCCGAGAAGGATAGTCTTGTGCATATGACCCAGCTTCTAGGTCCCTCAGAACAAAACTGAATAGTACAAGACTGCAATTGCAAGACTTCAATACACAAATATGAGCATCATAGGTGTGCTGAGGGAGTAGAAGCTATAGTATAAATGATAATGATTCAAGTCTGACAACTGCTGAACTTGAATTGATATGCAAACTAAATACAATCAACTTAGGCTTGAATAGAGACTGGGAATGGCTGAGCCAT